GAAACTGTTCTACGCATTGACGACAGCTTTGTGCGATACCAAATCACACCTTTAGCAGCGGAAGGGTCGGCGTGATTCGATATTGAATCACGCCGGACCCGTGCGCAAAATCGCGCCCATCTTTCGCGGTCAAAAAGAAAGCGTCATCGAATCGTTGGGTTGTAGTGTTCCTTTTAGAGATGGGGTATATCTGAAGTGCTGATGAGATTTACGATTTTCGTAGGGCTTTCTGTAAACAGTTTCCTCCACGAGACCTGCAACTCAGATATGCTTTAACACAACGCAGAATGTCGCTATTGCTTGTCCCGTTGACAATGAGCTTTCATTCTCAAAAGCATTTTTAGGTACTCAGTTGTAGAGATTTTTGCAACTTTATTTGTATTCTAGTGATTTCGTTGATTAGGACAATGTAGAAACCTTTTTTTGATACCTATTCCATAGTCATAACCCTAGTGTATATCCATGTGATTTTTAATATTTGATTCTTGTTTGATTTTGCTACTGCTCATATTGAAATGTTTGTGCAAGGGTAAATGGTCAGTTTTTTATCGAAAGTGTTTTGACAGTGTTCAGATTTGAGGGATGAAGAAAAGGCGTACCGGAACAGAGGATGATAATGCCAATAGATCCAATCAATTTGATGGAACAATAATAAGCAATTTTTTAACACGTTGACGACAGGCTGACGCGCATGCGCGTCAATTTCGCACCGCATCGGACATTCTGACGCGCATGCGCGTCAGAACTATGTCATTCATTTTTATTGTGCTTGCGCTCCTTCTTCTCGGTTTTTTGTATTCATTCTATAGATAATACATTAGCATAACTATAAACCACATGGCAGCCAGAGTGGTCAAATATCCTTGATTTAGCAAAGATTTTCTGAACGCACAAAACTTTCATTCAATTCTTTCCTAGTATTCCTTTCACTGTCGTAAACATTCATATGAAAGATTGTAGAAAGTTAATACAAAACTCTGTGAGTTTCAAGATATTTGTATTTGATGGAAGAACTTAGATATAAATGCTTTTAATTTCATTCGCAGCGAAAGTGATGTTTTTTACTTCTTCGTGGTCATTATGCGCTCTTCTAAACAAAAACCTACTGCTATTTATATAGTTAACCTTTATGCTTTCATCCTTGCCGAAATAATTCCTATGAGATTCAAGTTATTGTGCATTTTAAACAAAAAATAAGCGGAAGTAAGGTGAGGACGGCGCGCTCGCAAAATCGCTCCTGTCCCACGAGGTGCAAAATGCCAAAACATGCGATGTCGTCAACGTGTTAATAAACAAAAAGGATTGGAAGCGATTGGAGTATCGAACAGAACATTGCGATTCCTTTCTAGTTGGGTGTGTGTCAGGAGTTCTCAGGAGTTCGCTCGAGTGTCGCGCGTGCTCCCATGTCGAGTTTTGGCTGTTCTTGTGAATGTGAAACAAAAAAAAACCAATGTGAAAATACCAACACTAACATTGAGCCCTGGCGATATCGTAGGAAAAGTTTACATAAGCATGTGTTTTTGCGGTACCGACAGGAAGCTCGTCGCATGGTGAGACGTCAGAGACACAGACAAGTCAGCTGCGCGTACTGCGGCGGATTTGTCGTATTGTTGAATAGGATGAACTATACTACATTCCACATCACAAAGCACGCGCTGCGACTCGTCCGCCAACCCACCTGCGTCTCTGCCTTTTCGCCGCGCGACGGGTCTCTCGCCGGGTACCGTGTTTCTAATGCTGGGGTGCAAATGGATGTCAGTAAGTCTGCACGTTTAACGACAGTTTCCTGCACAAGAGAAACAAAGTGTACAAATATAAGAACTTATGTTAAAATAATGATGTGTACCCTGATACCACATGAGGTGACGTTCGTGAGGCCCTTCCCGCCCCCTCCGCAGCGATCTGTCCAATTGTCGGAATGCTTTATCTTCCTTATTTCTACTGTACTGTATTTTTTCTCTGTACATCAACACGAAATGGCAGTGGGTGCTAGCGCAAAAGAGCAAAGTGAAATCAACCCGCTAGATAGAAGAAGGACCAATTCCGACTTTACTAAGAAGAAAATTCACCTCACGTGATCAATGAAAAGGTTAAAAGTGTCGCGGTCGCTGTAACGACTATGAGACCACTAGCAACAGTTTAGTATACTTCCTTCAAGTTAAGGTGACACCAAAAGGTCAGCACCTCTGAAAGGCGCACCACATGCGTAGGAGAAGAAATTTTCGACGGCTGTCGAAAAAAAAGTCTGTCTTCCAAGTGGAAGCAACCGTTTACTGTTTGCTCGATTGGGCATGTACACTACCCCCAGCTGGTTCGGGATTTTCTGGCGAGCTCCTCGATACCCGTCCTTTCCCTCTGCGATAACCAGTTTGACCTTCCATTTGCTAATTGACCAGCGTGCGCTTGGGCTTGGCTATCTTTACTCCTTGTGCGATACCAAATCGAGTCTTAACTCGCTCATTAATGCTCGTTGTTCCCAGCCGGAGGTGCCTTGCTCGAACACCACTCCGAACTAAAACTATCTGACTGTGATTCTGGTACTCGAAAAAATGCTGTATTACACCTTCAGTAACCTCTGAGCGTAGACGATGAGACATAATCCTCTTGACTCGTTCATTTCAGGCTTCTCAGAGTTATCACTCCTCATATTGCTTCAGAGAGCTGGGTTTGTTTTCTTCATAGAAGCTACACAGACCACACACAAAGGTGAATGCCGGCAAAGTTGCGTCGTACATTGCGCTGTTTTGCAGGCCCGCATTAGCACGGCATGAATTGAAAATTAACGCATAGTGAAGAAACTTCTGTAGAAAATGCTTATAGTGGCACACATAATTTCAGCATTTTTTTGGATTAAGCAATTTGATCGGCTCAATGCTGCAGAAGTAACTACGTCGATTTGTGGAAGCGCAATGACTCCTATCTTAACAAATAATCAGGGGTTTATACCTCTATAAAAAAATAGGTAAGAAACTCGGATTATTGCTATGCATGGCAGGATCAATGGGATTGAGAGGTGTCCATTTAATTCAATTCGACGGTGGTACCATGCCTGGGGCCGTATCCTTGTGCGCCAGGTTAGGGCCTTGCAGCACATGTTCTTTTACACACATACAAACATTACAAGTAGGCTATTTTTAGAATGATTTTGGTTGGGTAATCAAAGAAATTTAAAGGGATATTTCCTTCTCTTAGCCTGGGAAGGATAGGATACGGCCCCTTGGTTCCATGGAAATGTAAGCAGTTTCGAGGGCCATAGATGCCAGATTGGTACACCCTACTCGTCGCCACACCAAGAAATTTTCCTCAAATTTATTCGAAAAAAAAAAACCTTTAGCATTCTCTGAAAAGGTGATCATAGCTGAAAACCCGTCACTCGAACACTGCGACTAGGTATGAAACGAAGAGCATGAGCTGCATAGATTTGAACATGATTACAGATGAGATGTGAAAATAAATAGGTGAAAGAACTTATCAAGAAACATTCATAAAACGCCCTGACTTGTTTTGGGCGCTCAATCGCAATAGAGTGAAGTTGCGGATTGTTCCAAGCAACCGCCCGGAAAAGAGTCAAGGGCGCTTGGTATGGGAGAAGCAAGAAAAAATAGTGCATTTCTTCGATAACCTAATACTATAAAGAAAGCAATGGCTCAATACAATGGCAACGACTGAGATGGCATTCAACAATCACGAAAAGTTACTTCCATGAACAAAAATCACATACAATTTCGATTCTCCACATTTTGGTTTGAAGCTTTGGTTCCAAAAACTTCACGGTAACAAAATAATAAGATACAAGAACATTTCAGAGCAAACAGGATTACAGAGAGCTGCCTACATGCGCTCTAACGAATAGGTTAAAATGGAAAACTATAACAAAAAAGCTATAGCTCGATCCGTCGCTCCTGACCTTTGATACCAAAGTATGAGGTTGGTTTGGGTGGTTTGCTGACATTTCTTTCCCGTCGAACAATATGGGAGAATGTTGACACACAGTTTCCGATGAAATGGTCTGATTGACCAAGAATCGCTAATGACACCAACGCATCGTCAGGATTCAGTCGATAAGCCTTTACCTGAAGAATGATATGATCAAGCTAGGGTAAAAGCAGAAACCTGAAATGGCATAGGGAGTTTGTCCTTATGAAAACATTCGAATAGAATAACTGTCTGATTCATCAGTGCCCAAAGTCGTCTAGCGGCAGGTGGCACAGCTTACCACGCGCATTGTCCGAGATGAAATCCTTCATCGTACCCCGCCCATGCTAACCAGAGCTCCATCTCCCCGGGGCCGGCCGGTTGACCGGTATCAGCTTGGTCCTGGGAGGACAACAACAATGACAGATGCATTGGCGGACCACATTCATTCCATAAGTAAAGCCTAAATCCCTACCAGTATCCTACTGTAGTTCCGAACTAGAGTATAACGAGTGGCGCATCCTACAAGAGGTAGAACAGCATCGAATGCTATCCTTTACTCTTTTAGAGAGGTAACTCCTGACGACAAATAAATTTGCAGTCTAGCCGTATCAAGCTTTCTGCGACCCGTAGGCTACTTAACTGTAGGCTGCCCGCGCGAAGAGAAGGCAGAGACGCAGACTGGTTAGCAGAAGAGTCGCAGCGCGTACTGTACGATGTGGGACGTACTATAGTACATTTCACCCAACTTGACGCTAAATCGCTACAGTGACGCGCTGCGACTCGTCCGCTGACCCGTCTACGTCTCTGCCTTCTCGCCGCGCGACGGGCCCCCTGTCGAGTACCCCTATATCCTATTGCAACTTCACAGAAGACAACCGAGATTATTACGAATACCATGATTCGAAAACTGTAACCAACCTCATAAGCATTGAGAGCCTCATTCAAAGTCTCAATCATGTGGTCCTTATCACTAGCTACGAATACCGAACGTGCACCGATTTTTCCAACCCAGTCGATCACCTGAAAAGCGGTACTGATTCTGATATTTTTCAATGGCGAGGAATCCACGCTCATAACCTCTCATCGATTTCATTTTCCCGAAAAACAGCGTAGCTCTGCTTCAACAACGGTGGCCGGGAAAGGAGCAGATGTCTTTGTCGGTGTGCCGTCGTAGAATTCTTCTCCTTCGCATTGCATAGACGCGAACAAAGGCTGTCGAGCAGTCGTAGAAGGTACAAGTTCACATACACGTTCCTTCAATAAAGATCACAAATAGTGAGAGAGCAATCAAGGGAGCAACGAAGTTATAGGCCCATTACACTCGTTTCGTATCTTCTCACCTTTCGATTCCAGCTGGAGTCACCTTGTCAAATGACAAAAAATCTATGCCCGAAGCTCCCCAGCAGGCGGTACCATCTAAGTAGATCAAGCTTACAGGACTAGGAATCGTAACCAGTATATGCAGATGGATCGAAAGACACGTGGACAAACCTCACTTTCTCGCCACGCTAGGGTGCACGAGATTAAATACCGAGGTGCTATCCGCCTTCTACAATTGTTCTCTACGGTGCCTTGTGCAGTTGCTGGTCTGGTAAAAACGAAGCAATTACCCAGTCCTTGTCGTTACGGAGATGTATGCCTACAAAAGGGCGAGAAAGCTTTTCGTTGATGAACTTGGTCGCTTTGCTCATAATACGTGATGACCATTTGAGATATCTGAAAATGGATGAGTATGAATGATGACCAGAAATGGAAAGCCTGTTGCGGAAAATATTGAAGCTATGAAACCTTTGCAGTTCCCAGACACCTGGACGCGATGGAAAAGCAGCTGGAGGTGACGGAAATGCCAACACAGGAAATTCAGATGGAGGAAATCTGGAAGTGGTTATACAGCATAAATCTAGATAAGTTTAAGGAACAGCACCTTGACTTTGCTTATAAAACCTCCAGTGGGAAATAATCAATAGAACCAAAGACACTACAAAAGCACCTTTCAAGCCAAGCTGCCTTCGATCCGCGCGCCGTCAAGTCATAGGCGCCCGGCAAGTCTCCATAATAGGCGTCATGAGCGAAAGAAACTCCAACCTTGTCCCAGTATGGGCCAAAGGGATTTCCTTCCTTGGCTTGGCATCCGACAGGAGCACTCTCGTCATAAATCGACTTTCGAGGGCTCCAACACACCGCTTAAAACATTCACATGAAACATACTGGATCAGAATGAGCGATGAGACTTCAAACAAAAGTTGCACTAACCAGTTCTATTTTCTTTTGGCCATAATACGGGCATGACTTCACGTTGGAAAACTCCCATTGTTATCGCTCTCACATATTTTTTGGCCTCAGCCACTTGAAAAACACTCTCGAAAGGTACCATGACCTGAAATAAATCCGATTACATAAAAATTACTTAACAGTGCTATACCTCCAACAAATCGAACCGTATTCGGGAAGGGGTATTCGATGAAATATGGCAATACTAAAGTTCTATCGAGATATCTAGTAAACTGCATAACGCCAAGTAGTTGGTCGACTTGATTCCCGAATCGCCCTGAAAAGTAAAGAATCGGAGCATCTGCATAAGTAAGAGTACATTTTGCTTTTTTTTTGAAATTTCAATCTTCTTTTAGAAATAAATGTTCACTCACCCATACATGGGCAGAAGACGACGTATCCATTGGGATCGGGTTCAAAAGTAGTTCCCACTGCTGAGGCAATAAACGAAAAGGTAAGTACGGTGATCGAGCTCATAGTGCCTCCAAAAGCTCTATGCAACGTGAGAGGCCATAAATGACGACCGACTGATAAGATGGCGGTCAATAGAGATGCACCTCTTCTGGCCCAAGTTAAGGCAACACCTTGAAGGAAACCTCCATTCACTGGAAAAACAATGGTTTGAGCAAAAACAGCAGAAGGATATATTTCAACTAGCGCCTTCCATGGAATGCTGGCGGACTGAAAGACATCTAACCTAGCAAGACACCCCTTGGCTGCTGTGCGTTACTGTGCCACGATTTGTGATCTCAAAGTAATAGAAATGCACGCATAAAAGGCACGTACACAATCCTTCAATAGATTCAACTGATAGTTGAAATCTGTACAGTGAATTAGCCAGCATCACGCCAGTTGTCGGCGCCTCCTTTCTCCCACCACGCCCACCTTTCGGACGTTGTAAGACAGGGTCAACCCTATCGTTGTTACTTTTCGAAAATTTTTTACGACCCCCCTCCCCCAAGGTGGATTTGGTACGACCCCCTTCTCGACCCTCGACCACCATATTCCTCTCTATAACATTAACTTCCACTACCACTCAACCCTCAAAACTCCGCCCACTTTTTCCTCCAAAAATGCCGTCGAGCGGGGGGGTATATAGTCCCTCTGAAACAGTAAAAATTTTCCCATAATTTCCCACAATTCCCTAAATTTTCAACCAATTTACCCTATTTCTACCTATAATCTCACTGTTTCCTTTTCTAGGGGGGGTATATACACCGGCTGAAACGGCAAATTTTTATCTTGCGCGCCCTCTACTCGCACAACCTACTACCCACGAAATCTTAGTTTCTCCTCAATCCCACCCCTGATTTCGAGCAACTAAAGTGGGTACGACCCCCCCTCCTACAAACTCAACCAGGTACGACCCCCCCGTTGTTACTCGTAACAACGTAGGGTTGACCCGATGTCAGACTTTGCGAATCGCGCGATTCGCTAGCGTCTGCGGTCGCGTCGCGGCCAGTGAATCACTCAATTGGCTGGTACCGCAACGCGACCGCGGACGCTAGCGAATCGCGCGATTCGCAAAGTCTGACATCGGCCTTAAGGTTCGACGGACTGGGACGGGAAAGGAATGGGAATACGACAGACTTAAGGAGGAAGTATATTTCAGGGACCCTATAAGTGAAGGCGTACCAGCCGGGGGGGGGGGGGGTGAGAATCATCTAAGCCAAATTGTCTTTACACTTAACTCACTTTGATCGCAATCATCACCAAAAAAACAGAAATGCGTTACCTGGGCCTTCGTGAGTAACACCTACTTTCTCGATGGACCACCTCAAGATTCCCCAACAGAGCTATTTTTGACCTCATTTTTCAAAGCCGTGGTTCGCATCTACGGAAAACCACCTAATTCTTTTCGTGGCTCTCTAATGAAACGCGGTCGACCTCTCATTTTCCCGAACATTTCGCCAGTCGCTCGTCTTACAAGACAATTAGCAAAGAAATTTCCCACTTGCTAGTTGTAGAACATCGTAATAAATGGACGTAGGCTAACATTCCCATTCACCTACCCTGTATCAAGCTCAATTATTGAGACATCCTAGCTAGAAGATCCCTTATTCGAACATTTCGTGAGAGCAGGGCATACTGATCAAAATAGCCGAAAAAACTCAATTTTCTACATGTCAGTTCTCTTGTGATAAGCGAACGGTTCAGAACAATAGTCTTTGGAATAACCTCAGTGATAGTTTTTTGTAAAACTTGAAAGATTAGGTAAACCGTTTATTACCAGCAATGAACCCATCATCACAATGGACAGTTACAACGGAACGAAAGATCTGCGAAAATCCACGTGTACCATGCAGTGTCAACTGATAATCATTTACATAGAACTTGATTTCTATTGCGTTTTTGATTCGAAAGAGGAGGTGCAGAGAGCAAGACATGCAGAACCAGCCTCGTCCACTTCTTCTCAACCGTTTCGAGGAACATGATAGGGTTACATAATAAATAGATACCAAGTTGTGAGTGGTCATAGCAAAATTAAACGAGAAAAAAGTGAAAGGCATCCAAAAAAGACAATCCTTCACGAAAAAATAAAATGCTGGTCAGGTAGTGCATTGCTTATTGAGCACGGAAGAATGATTCAGTTTTGCTGCGCTTGCTTGTTCTCGCGCTTCAGCCGTGATCGAGCGTTCAACTGTGCCTGAAAGAACTCAGCCTTCAGAATAGATACCCTTCCAGATGATAACTAGGGCAAATAAATTAAGTGAAAAACTAATGGCGTAATATTGCGGAAGGGATTGTTTTTTTTTTGAAGTTCAAGGGAGTGTTTTAAAAGTTCCATAGCGATTTGGGTGTTTGAAAAATCCGAGCTTCTTATTCTCTCTGTCATGGAGTTTGTTCCGAGATGGATCAAGTTTTTGATTACATTCATATGGACGCTTTGCATCGCTGCCAGTCATATTTCTACATCTATTCCTTATTGCTAAATTGGAGTCCTGTCGCGGTGTGCCGCTGTCTTTGTTAGTCGTTTTCACACTGTTCTTTCTTCAGGGCACCTGATGCCGTGGCCATTCATCTTTCAAACCTCTGTGTATAATGTAATAGCTACGGTTTTCCTTACGGCATTGGTTTTTACACTTGTCTTATTTGCACAAGTTATCATCTGGAGGGTATCTTTTCTGAAGGCTGAGTTCTAATCAACATTATTTCAGGCACAGTTGAACGCTCGATCACGGCTGAAGCGCGAGAACAAGCAAGCGCAGCAAAACTGAATCATTCTTCCGTGCTCAATAAGCAATGAACTACCTGACTGATCAGCAGTTTTTGTTTTCCGGTGAATTTTTCAACTTTTTTCTCAGTTTAATTTATGCTATGACACTTCACAACTTGAGTTATTATTATTATGTAACTATCATGTTCCATCGAAACGGTTGAGAGAGTAGACGAGGCTGGTTCTGCATGTCTTGCTCTCTGCACCTCCTCTTTCGAATCAAAAATGCAATAGAAATCAAGTTCTATGTAAATGATTATCAGTTGACACTGCATGGTACACGTGGATTTTCGCAGATCTTTCGTTCCGTTGTAACTGTCCATTGTGATGATGGGTTCATTGCTGGTAATAAACGGTTTACCTAATTTTTCAAGTTTTACAAAAAACTATCCACTGAGGTTATTCCAAAGACTATTGTTCTGAACCGTTCGCTTATCACAAGAGAACTGACATGTAGAAAACTTAGTTTTTTCTGCTATTTTGATCAGTATGCCCTACTCTCACGAAATGTCTCGAATAAGGGATCTTCCAGCTAGATGTCTCAATAATTGAGCTTGATACAGGGTAGGTGAATGGGAACGTTAGCCTACGTCCATTTATTACGATGTTCTACAACTAGCAAGTAGGAAATTTCTTTGCTAATTGTTCTGTATAGACGAGCGACTGGCGAAATTTTCGGAAAATGAGAGGTCGACCGCGTTTCGTCAGAGAGCCAGGAAAAGAATTGGGTGGTTCTCCGTAGATGCGAACCACGGCTTTGAAAAATGAGGTCAAAAATAGCTCTGTTGGGGAATCTTGAGGTGGTCATCGATAAAGTAGGTGTTACTCACGAACGCCCAGGTAACGCATTTCTTCCCTGTTTTTGCGATCAAAGTGAGTTAAGTGCAAAGACAATTTGGCTTAGATGATTCTCACC